ATAAAGGAAATGAAAGAGAATTATAGGCTGGGACTATAGACAGGGGACTATTTTGGACAGGGGTGGGCAGGAAAGGCTTCTCTGAGGAGGTCACATTCCTCAGAGACATAGAAGATTTATGACTTAGAGAAAAATCCCTCCAGTACACTGTTGGGACACCTTACTCAGGGAAGTGAATTTCATAAGAGTTCTTAAAGTAAAAACAAATATTGCAGGGCCATTTCTGCCAAGGTTCGGAATGTTGGGAGACTCCAACAGATGTTAAAATGCCCCTAGAGACGAAAGATTTTTAAATGCCAAACGTGATCATCTTTTTGATGATGTTCTCAAACTTAAACTTGCCAAATACATGTGACCACATTTTTAGGGAGATAGTTCTTTAACTTATGAATATCCTTTTATGACTACGAATTGGCTTAAATGTTGTTTTGGGTAGTTGCTATGTGAACAAGTACTAAAAACAAAATAAAGAAGACAAAGGTGATGCTGGTTCTTCATCACTTTGTCAGAAGCTCTTCTGGTTTGATGGACTGGGCTGTCAACAATGGAATAAAGCCAGTGCTAAACAGAAAGAAACCTCAGCTTCAAGCAGCAGTATTCCAAAATAATCTCTCAGTGAGTGGAAGTTGCTGGTTTTATGTGAGCATGAAAAATTAATTATCAATGAAAAGGCATTTCCTTTTTTCAGAGCCCATATATTTATTGACAAATAAATGTTCTTTATCTCCCCAGAGGAAAGAACCATTCTCCAAAACTGTTTAATCAATTTACTGACCTGAGTCAAAGATTTGGGGGGGGGAAAAGAATGTACTTTCTCAGACAGATCCCAGAAAAGACAAAGCAGGTGGCTCTTTGCTGTATTTGTTTTCCATAGAGCAATTATCTGGAATATCTTCTCCCCACAAAACCATAAAGTTTTTCCTGTAAAACATAAACAGACTTACTGGTAAATATGGCAAATGGAATATATACATCAACTCTTACTTTCTTCCCAAGCCCTAGAAATGGCAGTAAGAAACATATTTAGGAAGCACAAACCAACGAAGACAGAGAGAACAGAGGAGCAGAACAACAACAACAAAGAACAAACAAGCAAGCAAGCAAACAACCTGGAGGCTAGAAAGCAAGTAATGAGTGGTAAAGAGAACTTAATGGACCTGAGGATACAGATCCCAAAGCTGGCAAAGAGGAAAGCCGTAGACTAACTCAATTTTACAGCAGAGATTGGCAGCACTAGATGTTCCTGGAAATGGGGCTTGAAGGAGGGTGGGTAAAATAGGAGAATATGCTGAAAGTCTAAAAAGCAGTTGGATTCATCAATGACGTCCCCAACTCCCAGGATCCAAGCAACCATTGCTCTCTCCTCCTCCCCCCAAAAAGCACCCCCAACCCTAGCAGAGGACTGTAGATCTAGTCCCTGGGGAAGGTGAGACACAGATTCTTGACTGGGTGGGGATTGAAGGTGAGGATAGGATACTGACAATGGGGAAATAAGTAGAAATATGCATGCTAAATGCTGAAAACCCTAACTTTCTTTACCTACCCACCTTCCAGAAGAGTAGTTGACAGACTTTGACCCTCAGCCAGGAGATTGGAAGATCCTTCCCCACACAGTCTGACAAGCTCAAAAGAAAAGGTTTAAAGATACTGTCATTCTAGGCTCCTCAATTAAATAGCCAAGCCAAATCACCCTAAAGTAAAACTATTGGATAAGTCACTTTCCCACTTCCACTCCAACACCCCCCTACACACACAGATACCTATTATATTTATCACCTGAGAGAAATCTTTAATTTGAAAGGTAAAGAGACCAAAATAAAGTAACAGATAAAAGCAACTTGGAGGAAACATATGCCCTACAGGGAGAATAAAACTCCAAAAACAAAATAATATAAATCACATCATTAATATCCTCAGAAGGGTTAAAAAAAAAAGATATTGCAACCATGAAGACATAATATGATACTATAACAAATGAAAACATTTAGGGAGCAAAACAAGCTATTGGAATTATATATATATTATATATGCATAATATATATAATATATATATATATAATGAAAGCAGCAGAAATTTAAAAAAAAAAAAAAAAAACAGATCAGAAGAATTGGGTCCATTGGGTCAGGAGTCCAAATACCCTTAACTGGTTCCTCTGCTCAAGGTCTCACAAAGCTGTAATAAATGTTGGCTAGGGCTGGGGTCTCTTCGGAGGCTCAGTGTCTTTTTCTAAGCTCATGTGTTTTGGGACGGCATTCATTTCTTTATAGCATTAGAACTCCTGGCAGCTTGCTTTCAAGGCCAGCAAGAAAGATACTTTTACCTCTAGACTCTCCTTTAAAAGGATCACCTGAAAAAAATAAAATAAAATAAAAAGATCGCCTGCCAAGTCAGGTTCACCCAGGATAATCTCCCTTTTGATTAACTTAAAGTCAGCTGATTAGGGATCTATATTACATTTGCAAAATCCCTTCGTTTTGCCATATAACATTGTATAATTGTGTGGGGGGGTGCAGTTTCATCCCCTTTGCCATATTCTATTGGTTAGAAGTAAGCTAAAAGTTCTATCTATACTCAAGGGGATATAAAGGCATGTATACTATGGAGTGGGAATCATGGGGGCCACTTTAGAATTCTGCCTACCACAGGAGGAGAGGGTATCACTAGAGATATAAGACAATTATTCAGACTTAAAACACATAATTTTCTAGATTGAAAAAACTCAATGAATGCTAGCAAATTGAAGATAGATCCACACCAGACTGTCAGAAAACTGGACCACAGAGAGATCTGATAAGCTTCAAGAGGGGGCATGTCACAAACCAAGGATCAGAGAGGAAGATGGCATTGACTTTCTAAATAACACTACTTAAATCTTGAAGACAATGGAGCAATGTCTTCAAGATTATGAAGCAGAATGATTTCTACACTTTAATTCTATACTTAAAAAATTGTCAATTTAGGTTTAGGACAGAATAAAGATATTTTCAGACATGTAAGATCTCAATTATTTCCCATGTACCTTTTCTCAAAAGAATGTCTCAGGATTTGCTCCATCAAAAAGGGGAGAAATTTAAGAAAGAGACCGCAGAATAATTAGCAGAATAAGGCAAAGAGAATCCCAAGATCATGGTAGAGGAAGATCCCAAACAACCAGAATGCAGGTTTGAGGAGGCAACACATCCAGAATGGGAAAAGTCAGAAGGCTTCAGGAAAGATTTCTTCTAGAGGATAAAATTGAAAATGGGGAATAAAACTGATAGAATATTTCCAACATCTTAATGTACTTGAGAGAAATTTAGACAACTGACATAGAGTTTGGGCTTGAATTAGTGTTAAATAAGTCAGAGAAAACTAAAAAAAACACAAAATGATTAATTCAAAAAGTTGTACAGGAAAGGGAAAGAAATCCTGATTTACTACATGGCACAGCTATGAATAATGTTTCCATAGTAATAATAATGTCAGCACAAAATTGAGGTAGAAATATATATGGAGAATGAGGAATGGGAAGGTTTTGCATGTGTTATAGGGGCATGAGAAGGGAAGCGAGCTAGATCTTCTCCTTCTGTTGCAGTAGATCTATAGCTAATACCCCAAACTGTGAACACAGGAAGAGGCTACGCAGGCTCTTTGGAGACATGGAGGTGAATATCAGAAGATCAGCCAAAAATGTTGGAAGTACTTCTGAGAAAGAGGAAATAGAACAGGAAGAGAGAAGACAGGAGACTGCCATTTCTCTATAATAAGGCTAATAAATCTATTTTATATTTTAACTGTGCATGTATGACTCTAATGAAAAATACAAAATAAATAAGCAAAAATAGCGATGATGAGATAAAGCAATTATCTCTATAACTGCTTTACTTTTCCTACTAGATATGTTGACTATTTACTTCCTTATCTAAGTTCACTATAATGTTTGTTTTATTGTTTTAAAATCAAGTTTACCAGAACTTAAACATCAAATGAATGTTTCCTTTCAGAGTTTTTCTCCTTAAGAAGTTAGACACTTAGTCCAAAGTTGTTGCAACTATTTGAAATATTTTTGGAACTGTTTTTAGAATTTCAAAGCCTGTGGCAAACTTCTTTAAATAACTTCAAAGGTGTCAATTCATGGATTTAATATTTTGAAAGAACCAGGAATCATTTGAAATCACATTAGACCTGACTGGCCAAGCTAGCTAAAGCCATTTTGAGTAAAAATTAAGGTCTAAAAATTAACTAATACAACTGATTTTTTTGGATGGTTTATAAATTAGCTGTAAAGGGGACTTTAAAAGGGAAAAGGATTCTAAAAGTATTTTGTCTTTGAAGCATAATTGTTAAAATATGTGTACGAGGCTACATTTTTAGGAAGGTGTCCCCTCAAAGAAGTTAAGGATATTCTTCATGAAGCACACAAACAAAAATCTATGTTAGAAACCTACAGAAGTGATTTTAGGAGAAAAAAGAAAAAGGCCAAATGATGTAATATATGCTTATATATGGTAGGTGCCTCTCCTGTCTTCAAAATCCAAGTAGGATTGAGCCACCCACTGAAATTATCAGAGCACCTTATGTAACTGTAATTTATTTTCTTTTCAATGGAAGAGATATGACTAGAAGTAAAACTATGCCTTTGAATGGACTTCTATCTAGTTATATAAGTTAAGTGAAACAAGTACTGCTTCATCAGCTTTGGTATTGCTAAACTGATGAATCCAAGACATTCCTTCCTTCCTTCAATGATGAATGACATGCAAATGGTATCAAAGTCTTCCAGTCTTTCTCAGAAATGTTTAACTGGAACTCACCAATAGAGAACCTCTACAACCCCGTTGATTTTGATCACATTCTCAACTATGGGGACCTTGTGACCATCCAGCTCTGGTCTCTACCGAATAAACGTTTCCAAGCTTAAGAGAGTATTACCTGGGTGTAGAGGAGACTGCTAGATGTCCACTGTTCTTTCCTCTTGGGCAAAAAGAAAGACTACATCTCCAGTCCCATCATTCAGGTAGGTTAGTGCATGGAACTTGAATGGAAGAAGTACATACCTCTCCCTGGTCAGGTCCATGCTTCTCCAGGGACTTTTCCCTTTTGCATCTGGATGCAGATGAGGAGGCGGCCCTAGGAGATAGTGGATCCAGAAGGTGGAAGTAGCCTAGGGTCCTGCATAAATGCAAGTAGTAGAGCTATTCCTGCCATTCTGAGCAGCTGCCCCAGACTATAAAAAAGAAATACTGTTTTTAAGCAAATTTGAGTATATTCTTTAAGAAAATTTGAGTCCTTTTGTTGCTGTAGTCCAGTCTACACCAGTGAAGAAACTGGCTTTTTACCTGGAATAAGGGATCCAATTTCTGACCCTTGGGAGTATATATATTGAAGAACCCCTCCTAAGGCAGAGCTTCCTACTTGAAATAAGCAAAATGGAAATATGTTTGTTTTAGTTTTAGTTAATACAGCTCTTCTGATTGGAAAACTATTTCAAATGAAAGATATACTACTTAGAAGTAAATTTTTATAAATGAATAAACAGAAAACAAATGATTCAGTGCATTTATTTCCAAGAAATAAAAGTAGGCTATGATCTCAAGACATGACAGAAATATTAATATAAAATAAATGTATAAATTATTGTGTTGGGGCGCCTGGGTGGCTCAGTTGGTTAAGCGACTGCCTTCAGCTCAGGTCATGATCCCAGGGTCCTGGGATTGAGTCCCACATCGGGCTCCCTGCTTGGCGGGGAGCCTGCTTCTCCCTCTCCCACTCCCCCTGCTTGTGTTCCCTCTCTCGCTGTGTCTCTCTCTGTCAAATAAATAAATAAAATCTTAAAAAAAAAATTAAATAAATAAATACATACATTATTGTGTTGAAGGTAATCAGTAGAAAGAGTGCATTTACATAGTGGGTTGGTTGGAGTAGGCCTTGTAGGCAGCAGAGAAAAGGTAAAGAGGCCTATGGGGAAATAGAGTTGCCTTGGCCAGTGTAGTGTCTTTTTAAGATGGCAATGAAACCCTGAGGTCAGAGATTAGCAGGCAACAAAGATACAACAGTATAATTAAATGGCTTTGCCCTGGAAATGAACAGGAATTTGTGGATGAGAGACAGCAGAGAATAAAGTAGGGGAGAAAAAGAAGATGGCCAGTCAGAAGGACAGAGTGGAATGTGAAAGTTCAGTATGAAGTTTTCTGCATTGTTCACTCCTCAGGCTCCCCAAACCTTTAGTAAAAGGCGATGTGAGGAAGATCTGATTGTTGCTGTTGTTTTATTTTTTCTCTTCCAGAATCCATGCTCTTGTTAAATATATAAACTTTTTATTTTGGAACAGTTTTATATTTACAAAAAGTTGCAAAGATAGAATGGAGAATCCCCATATACCCCACACCCAATTTTCTCAATTACTGACATTTTACCTTTGTGAGGTACATTTCATATAATTAATGAACAAATCTTGATACCACATTATTAACCAAAGTCCATACTTTATTAAGATTTCCTGGGCGCTTGGCTGGCTCAGTTGGTAGAGCAAGCAACTCTTGATCTTGGGGTTGTAAATTCAAGCTACATGTTGGGTGTAGAGATTACTTAAAAAAAAGTAAAAATAAAAATCTTAAAAAAAACTTTTTTAAAGATTTCCTTGGTTTTTATCTGAGGTCCTTTTTCTGTTCCAGGATACCACGTTGCATTTAGTTGTCATGTCTCCTTAGGTTCTTGGTGGCTGTGAGTTTTTTAGACTTTCCTTGGTTTCAATGACACTGACAATTTGATGGAGTACTGGTCAGGTATTTTGTAGAATGTCTGTCAATTGGAATTTTTCTGATTGTTTTCTCATGATTAGACTGGGATTATGGGTTTTGGGGAAGGAGACCACAGAAGTAAAGTGTCATTCTCATCCTGTCCTATCAAGGATAGCTTATCAATATAACTCATCTCTGTTGATGCTGCCCCTATCATCTGGCTAAGGGGATGTTTGTCAAAGTTACTTTTATTCCCCCTTTCCATACTGAACTCTTCGTAAGGAAGTCATTATACTTAGCCCCATTAAAGTATGGGGTGCTAAGATCCACCTCCTTACTTCCTTAAAGGATGAACATCTACATAAATTATTTGGAATTCTGCACAGGAGACTTAGTTATTTCCTCCTACTTATTATTTATTTGTTTTTAAAATATTTTATTATATTGGGCGCCTGGGTGGCTCAGATGGTTAAGCGTCTGCCTTTGGCTCAGGTCATGATCTCAGGGTCCTGGGATCGAGTCCCGCATCGGGTTCCCTGCTCAGTGCAGAGCCTGCTTCTCCCTCTCCCTCTGCCGCTCCCTCTGCTTGTGCTCTTCTGTCTATCTCTCTGTCAAATAAATAAATAAAATCTTTAAAAAATATATTTTATTATATATATAATTTTATGTCTACATCTATATGGACTCATGGCTATTTATTTTATACTTTAGTTACAATCCAATACTATTATGTTTATTTAGTTGCTCACATTTTTCCAGTTTGGCCATTGGTAGTTCTTTCATTTGGCTTTTGTGTTACTTGACATATGCTTATTATGGTTTTCTGGTTCTATTTTTGTTTTTTCAGCACTTCCTTGCTTTTTGGCACTATAAGATGCTCCAGATTCATTCTGTATTTCCTGCCCCAGTTCTGGAATTGACCATTTCTGCAAGGAGCCTTGCTTCTTTTTATTAGAATGGTACTAGAAACCAAGATCTGATTTCTACATGTGCTCATTTCTGCTGCAATGTCCTTGCTTCTGGATTCTCTTAACTAACAGAGCAAGGAAATATATGCGTGTATACTAACCTGTGTATATGTACAAAGCTATAAAGATCTCTATATGTATCCACCTATATCTATATTAAACTACACATGAGTTCATATTGAAGTTGCCAACTCTAATCCATTACAATATAGATCATTCTAGCCTTTTCTCCTTGCTAATCTGTAATTTCCCATCCAGTCCAATGACGAGAAACCTGGTTCCCACCAACCATCATCCATTTACTTAATTTTTCAATCCAGTATACGTGTATACTGGTTTCATAATTTTAACCCATACCCCCATAGAAAACAACTTGATCAACTAGAATACAGTGCTTATGCACAGTTGTTTTTGCCTTTGGTTTTATAAACTCTACTCCAGAGTTCCTTAGATCTGCAACTTATTCCCCAACTGCCTTTAATGAGAGTATTTTATACATTTGTAGTACAATTAGATTCTTACATCATGGTCTGCATTCCATGGTGGGATCCCTTGACCTCCTGAATGGTATTTTAAAATTTGCACACGTTAAGGTTCACTCTTTGTGCTGTAAAGTTTTGTGGGTTTCAACAAATGCATTGTGTCCCATAGTTACGATTACAGTAGTATACAGAAGAGTTTCACTACCTTTAAATTTCCCTGTGCTTCTCTTAATCTCCCTCCTCCCAAACTGCTGGCAACCACTGAACTTTTCAATGTTTGACTAGTTTAGCCTTTTCCAGAATGTTACATAAATGGAATCATACATGTAGCCTTTTCAGAATGAATTCTTTCACTTAGCATTTAAGATTCATCTTTGTCTTTGCATGGCTTAACAGCTCATTTCTCTTTACTGTTGAATAGTATTCCATTTTATGGATATACAACGTTTCTTCATCCATTTACCTATTGAAGGACATCTTGGCTTCAACTTGTGATTATGAATAAACAGTCATGTATAGATATTTGTGTGTACGTAAATTTTCATGTCAGTTGAGTAAGAAGCATGAGTTACTGAATTATATGGCAAGACTATGTTTAGCTTTGGTTAGCTACCAAGCTGTTTTCTGAAGTGACTGTGCCATTTTGCACTGGGAATTCCTGTTCCACATCCTCACCAGCAATTGGTATTGTCAGTTTTTTTGGATTTTAGCCATCCTAAAATGTGGGTAGTGGTGTGTAGTGGTAACTCACTGCTGTTTAATTTGTATTTCCAGAGTGACAAGTGAGGTTGAGCATCTTTTTATGTGTCTGCCATCTGAATATCTTCTTTTAGTCCACTCTTCTTTTTAACCTAGTCTTTCCTTAGAAGGAGTGAAATATGAGTGACAGAATTTCATGTTTTTTAGCTACAGTCATATTCAAATTTATCCTGATCAGTTTTTTCAGAATGCTCCAAATCTCGGTCTCACTTTAAGACATAGTATCTTGGATTACTTACAATGGCCTGAACTCTTTCATTAATTGTAAATTTGTATTAGTTTAAATCTCAATCTTATTTCCAAATTCTTAAAGTGAGAAAGAAAGAGACACCTTCATTGTTTGCTCATAAAAGTCTTACACTTTTCTCTTTCTTTAATATATTATTTAACTATAGCCATATTTCAAATATTTTAGAACTGGTTGACCTCCATCACAGGCTTCCTTTTATTATCCTAATATTTTCTTTAAAGATTATTTTAGTGTAGTGGTTCCCAAAATTTGATTTGTATCAGAATCTCAGGCAGCCAAAAAAGAACATAGTAATGTGTGCTCATAAATTAAGATAGGGCTTAAGCTGTTGTATTTTTATCAAGATCCCTGGGTGTTTTTGATACAGTTTGACACTACAATTTTGACTCTACTGACCAAAGTTTGAGAACCATTGGTTTGCTGTTCAGACTGAGGGCCAATCTAACCCTGAAGAGAAAACACACAGTCAGCCTATTGAGACGCTGATAGAGTTTCAGAAGCCAATGCAGCTATCTTGCTATGTCCCCAACCTAATACTTCCACAGGTTTGTGTGCACAATTTTTGTCTAGGGCTGAAATTAAATATCAGTAGAGCATTTTTACAGTACAAGATATTATGAAAAACTAGTTTATTCTGCAGAGTTCATCAAAGGAACATTTTAAAACCATCTGGACACATCATATCACTAAATTAAAACTATTAAAAGGTGTACCCCAGAATTTTCATTTTAAGAAGTGCACTATAACATACAAGGTAGATAATCCATATATCTTTGCATATTACTGGTTCACTACTCTTCTATACAATAAAAATTAAATGGCAGTTATTTTTTTTTTACAATAAAGCGTTAACCTAAATTAAGAAGACCAAATTTAACAATGTAGCATTTTATAACTAGAAAGCAACTATTTCTCAGATATTTTTTCTTTAAAAACTCAAGTCTTCATGTGTTTTATGTCCTTCCTAAGCTATGGCTAATATTCAATACAACTTAAGAGGCACAGTTCCATTCCAAAAAAAAATTCATCACATCAAAACATTATTTGCATATTCATAAGGTTCCACCTTCAGGCACAGACATGAGCTCTTTTTCTTGCAAACTATTACATCAACAGAAATATACAAATAATCATCAAGAAAAATGCGAATAAGGATATTAAATGAAAAAATGTTCGCTCACCAGTGCACTGTTTATCAGGTGGAGAGTGTGCTTGCTTGATTACAAAGTAAATTTTGAAGGGAAGTAATTGTGCTCATTGTTCATATAAATATATTTAATCGCCATTATTACTAATAATTGCTAATACTGAGTGTACTTCTGAGCAATTGTTTGATTTTGCTAGAAAACATATGACATGACTTTTTTGGAAAATGTATTTAAATTTTACCTGAGGGGCTACTTTTTTAATCAAAATAACACACCAAGGCATGGTTGAAAGCACTTTGCTTTTTCAAAGGTCTCTCCAAACTCAATTGTAATCCAGAAATGAGTAGTTTCCCATGAAAATATCAACTGCTTGAGCCTCCTTTGCCAGCAACTAGATTATGCCATTCATTTTACCAGTAACTAACGGTTACTCTTATGAGATGTTACATTTCCTGAAATTTTTGCTGTGAGGATAATTTTATAATCACTACCCGGCAAATAGAAATTTTTTCCTCCTTTTAAGAAATTTAAATTCTTCTCCTTAATCTTATTTTCAGCATATTTGGATGTATCTAAAAACTTTGTCCTTAGTTAGTCAATCCATATCAGATCATTTCGGTCTTTCCACCAAGTTAAAAGGGATCTTATTCCTTCCATTTAATACTAATCCTGGAAAGCAAGAAATACACAAAAACAACCAAAATCTTTAATGGCTTTGATTTGTTAATCACTGAAAAATTTCAAATATTTCTACTGGACCCCACGGAAGCACCAACTGTTACAGTGTGACCTAAGCAAAGCATTTGAACATCTGTAGGACGTAAATCCTATTAGTGAAGGAGAACCTCTCTAAATCACTTTTTGTGTATAACACTTCTAATTATTAATTTACCAGTCAGGCACAAAAGAGATTCCCCCATAGTTAAACAAAGAGTTGACCTCCTTAAGCATCATCATGCTTTTCCATTTCAACATTTCAAAAAAATCCGTTAGCGGTGAGGTTATTACAATTTCCATAAACTAAGGATGCCTGGAGTTGCAGCTGGCTTGCGGAACCAAAGACAGCCTGCTGCAGTTTGCAAAAATGCTGACTTGTGAGGCCCAGGTCATTATTTATTGGTGTCTAGACTTAGAGCTTCTTTAACCTTCCACTCTAACCTCAGGGGCCACCCAAGGAAACCAGTTTCCTGGTCAGCCAAGTCCTCTGGTTGTATTTTCATCAGAATTGAGGATCAGTAGGTGGGGATGCCGTGCCCCAGTCTTGGAATACATTAGAGAACGGGAGCACTTCTGCACACCTTTTGAAGGCAGTTGCCACCAGGTTGTTAACTCACTCCCTAGCCTCAGAGCACACGGGACTGACTTTATTCTTTACACAGGTCCTTGTGAAGCAGTGGAGTGATTTTAAAATTCCATTTCTGACCCATAAGACCTTCGGTGATCCTGTTCGTGCACCCTGCACAAGCCGCTTTCCCCATTCATGCACAGCAGGTCTGAGTCTCTTGTTCACATCTGTTATCTAGATACACTGAAAAGGACTTCCAGTTTTCTTTAGTACATATCTAGAATGGTTCTCTCAATTTGAAGTTCTTGTATTCATGCTAAGACTTTGAAACCTGCAGGCTCCGCATGAGAAAATAGACTACATTTAACTTAATTAAATTTTTATTGTCATTCTCAAATACCAATTTTAAGGGATTCAAATGTATCTGAACTGTAAATATTTTTTTAAATAAAATAACTAACTCAAATGATAAATGAAGAGGAAAATATCCATACCTCTCGTATGTATTTCAAAAGAAATAAAGTCCTGTAATGAGAGTTATTGTTGAAACTGTGTTAGTGTTTAGTTGTTAACCAAGTCATAACACACTGCAGGTTTTTCTTGTACATCCTACGTTTCTCAGCAAGAATCCACTTTTTGTTCAACAACTTTATTCTTAATTCAGAATAGAAAAATGGCTTCACCATTGATAAGTAAATTAAAAGTTAGCTTTAGGGGAACAGTAGCTATTTCACAAATGAAATAGAGTAATTTTCATAGTTTGGTGTCAAAAGATAAGTCCCAAGTTTGCCATTTGCTTGCCTACAATGCATGAAGTTACTTTACGAATATTCATGCCTGAGCTTTTATTACAACTCTAAAAATTGGGTTTTTACCACCCCAAATGTGGAACACTTGTTTGGCCCTATGTACCATATAAAAGGGTTTGGGTATTTTCGTGCCAGAAAAGGAATGATCAGTTGAAGAGAAAAGATGATTTCTGAAACAAATTAAGTGTATATGTTTGTGCATATATAAAAATATACATATATAATTATTTGTTACATTAGAAGAAAAATATTATTGGCATTGATTACTATCCTCACATGCAGATGTGGCTGAAAAGGGTATTTCATAATCAATAACATATTTAGAAGTGTGGATAAGGAGAGTTTGGTTTGTGGCTACAGCTTTTTTGTAAATCCTGTTGCTTTTTTGGCTCTTTGCCTCTTAGATGCCGTCCCTAAGGGCAGAGTGTTCTGCCCACCGACACCAACTATGCACCAGCTCCAGGGTGGCCAGATTGGCAGAGGGACCCAAGCATATTCTTCATTTTGATTAATCTGCTGTTCTCAAAATGTTTTCTGACTTTGTGTATGAAAATATGAAAAAGCTATTTATAATTATAATTTAAAGGACTAAGATAACTAGACAAGTAGTTTTGTCAAGAAAAAAAAAAAGAATTTCAGGGAATTAGTCACTGTTACAGACTAAATGCTTATGTCCCACCAACACTTATATGTTAAAACCCTAACCCCAAATGTGACTGTATTTGTAGATAGGTCCGTTATGGAAGTAATTAAGGTTAAATGAGGTCAGAGAGTAGAGGCCCTGATCGGATGGGACTGGTGCCCTTTAAGAGGAGGATGCCAGAGAGCTCTCGCTCTCCTCTATGTGAGGACACATCAAGAAGGTGGCTGTCTGCAAGGCAGAAATAAAGCCCTCACCAGAAACCAAACATGCTGGTACCTTGTACTTGGACTTCTCAGCCTCCAGAACTGTGAGAAAATATATTTCTCTTGTTTAAACCACTCAGTCTATAGTCTTTTGTTAGGCAACCTGAGCACACTAATACAGTCACTAAAAATCTATTCCTAGGCATCCTGGGGAACAAGATAGCAGGGAAGAAAGCAGGAGATTTGATTTGACTAACCTAACTTTATTTGTCATTACCATCCCATTCAAACTTCAGCAAATAGGCAGACCAAAGAAAGGTCCTTAAGTCATTTGAAAAGTTTTTCGAAACAGGTCTCCTACTTAGGCCTTTTTATTGAGCTTAATTTCTTTTTTTTTAAGACTTTATTTATTTGTCAGAGAGAGCGTGCACACAAGCATGGCAGGAGAGGGAGAAGCAGACTCCCCACTGAGCAAGGAGCCGGGTGCAGGACTCTGGGATCACGACCTGAGCTGAAGGCAGACACTTAACCAACTGAGCCACCCAGGCGTCCCTATTGAGCTTACTTTCTGAAATTGTTTAATTCCAGGAGGGAAACAAAAATATTAATATATTTTATACAAATTTACCTTGTAGTTTTTCAAAACTTCATTGTTTAATTCATGTTTTGTTTTTTCAGTAATGTAATAAGCATTTGCAAAGACCTGCTCAACACAGAAATTAGGACCATGACGAAAAACCTGTAATTAACATTGTGGTTCTCTACCAACCCTTCTCTAAATTGAGATAGCTATCCTTCTACCTCCTATTTCATAGTTCCTTTGCTTTCCTTTGTATGTTTTAATGCATTTATAAATACTAGTTAAAACTGTTTTTATTTTGTTTTTAACTTTACAAAAAAGAATATCACACTGTGTGTGCCCACCTCTACTTTTCATACCAAATTATTTAGGCAGTGAGCTCTCTTCTTTCATGCCTTTTGTGAGGTTAATTGGGGTAAAAAGTGTTCAAAATATCTTTGTATCTTGACATACTCCTAATGTTTCTTCAGGCACAGTGATCTTTCCCAGTGCAGTTAACAACCATATATAAGGGCAACTACTCCCAGGCAGAAATGAAAAAGGATTAGGGAAGAAATTTTGGCTCATGAGTTGCAGTTTACCTAGTTTACCACCAGTTTGCAGCATCTTGATTGTAGCAGTCAGGTAAACACCCACTTGATCTGGATATCCATCCATAACAGTGTTTGATGGGAACACTGAAGAGAAACAACACAACTCTGTGGTTATCTTAAGTATAAATATCACATCATTATAATTCTTCATGTTGCAAGCAATGAAAATCCAACTGAAACTAGCTTCATTAGTAAAGAGGATTTACTGACTCACCCGATTGTGAAGTAATATAGATAGAGTGGGCTTCAGGACTGGTTTGATTCAGTGACTCAAGGATATTAAAACAAGGGTTGTTTGTTTTATTTTGTTGCTCTCTCTTCTCTGTCTTCTACATTGTCATCTTCATCCTAAAGTAGTTTCTCTTGTGGCAGCAAAATGACTGTAGAAAGAGAAGGCTAGCTTGGAAGCTACCACAGAAAAAAGTAAAGAACCTTCTTTTTTTAGAAGCCCCTAGGAAAACCAATCTTATTCTCTTTCCTTTGAATTAGCAAACTCTTTATAAGACTTTACTTCCTCCAATATTCTTTTCAAAAGGCCCATTATTAATTACTTACTAGCCTCAAATAGCTTTTCTTTTGATTTACATGACTTAAACTTGTTGTATCTAAAAACTATACTCAGTAATCTATCTATATAGGTTTAACAGTTGAGACAGATGTACCACACCATTGCAAGGTGTCAATGTTAGAGGAAACAGTAAAGGGAGAGGAGAAGTATAATTTTGCACAATTTTCTAGAAACAGAAAACTGCTCTAAAAATGAAGTCTGGTGTTTTTTTGTTTTTTGTTTTTTTTTAAGTGTACTCAGAATCCTTCGACCTTTGTGTTCTGCATACAGTGGATGTTATAGAATTCTATTTTCCACTCTCCACTTTGGCATGAATTTCTAAGTTTATTCCTAACTGAGCCCTCCCTCTCTCCCTTTCCCACCTTGGACAGCAACATGGATATCCTGATGCTTCCTGTATAGCAGCATTAAATATCCTCCCAAGTTATGCCAATACCGGGTTAAAATGTGTTACTCTGTCATTTCTAACATCCGTATTATCAATGAAACTGACAAACACACAATCTAATAAGGGATGTGTTTAAGTTATTATCTTCTGACATTTTCTGAATATAATGATTGGTCAAAAATAAAGACTTGTGGAAAGAATAAAGTAAGAATATGTCCAAAATGGGATGCCTGGGTGGCTCAGTCGTTAAGTGCCTGCCTTCAGCTCAGGTCATGATCCCAGGGTCCTGGGATCAAGCCCCACATCGGGCTCCCTGCTCAGCAGAAAGCCTGCTTCTCCCTCTCCCACTCCCCCTGCTTGTGTTCCCTTCTCGTGTCTCTCTCTGTCAAATAAATAAATAAAATCTTAAAAAAAATAATATGTCCAAAATGTTTGTAAATAATTCTTTGATTATTTTACCTTTGTTTTTGCTTTGCATATTCAAAAGAATGTGGCATTTTTATTTATTTTTGGTTGGAATATTTTTTGATTAAGTAGAAGAATATCAATGTCCTGGGGTATAAATAGCTCTAGCTGAGAGCAAACAAAGACTTCTGGGTGCTATGTAGTGCAGAGCCAATACAGTTATCATAAATTTCACTTCTAACAAAAGACATCAGGGTTAACAAAATTGTTTAATTTGCTTAGGCAGGATGAACCTTGTGCCTCTGCAAATTATTTCATGAGCTTTATGTTGAATAATGCTCTAGAGAGATACTTTTTTCTCCATTTATACCCGAGTAGGAGTTAGCTTCTAGTTTATTTCAAGTACATAATATATGTGAAAAAGTGCTTGCAAATTAGAGGAATTATTGTAACACAAGTCTGCCTTAAGACATACAGCCTCTCAAGTTAAACAGGAATTACGTTCTTTAGCTAACAGATTTATGGAATGTAATGAAATTTTGCTACTGGGTAGTAAGAATAGACTGTGTAGTCTATTTCAATGGAGAATCAGAAAAGTAAGTAGGAGACAATGTTGAGAAAGAACAATAAAGTAGGAATCAGAAGCCCTATATGACCTTGAGCACTTGACTTCTCTAAACCTTAGTTTTTTTATCTGTAAAGTAGTAATTCTAGGCCATAATTAAGATCAAATTATATAATAGATGTGAATGTGTTTTCTGCCTTTCAAAGAACAGTGTTAATTTAAAATGCTATTATATAAAAGGTAGGGGACTATTGCACTAAGGCATGTGAAATAAGGTAAAAGGTTTTCTGTGGTATATATGGTAAGCCATGTTAATGAAAAAAGTCCTTACTAAGAGTCTCTATAAACCCAGGTCACTGTTCTGGAAACCGTCTTAGGCGAAGTGCATAGAGCAAAGCTTCTCAACCACAGTACACATGAGAATCACCTGATTCTAAGTAAAAATACCAATGCCAGGATCCCATCCACCATGTGTATTTAAAACAACTAATAAAGTTCACAAATAATTTTGAGGAAAACTTTCATTTAAGACTCATTGGTCTAGAGCAGAGGTCAGCACACCTTTTCTGTTAACAGTCAGATAATAAATATTTTAGCCTTTGCAGGCATATAAGGAATCTGTTCTTCCTTCCTTCCTTCTTTCCCTCCTTCCTTCCTTCTTTCCTTCCTTCCTTCCTTCTTCCCTCCCTCCTTTCTTTCTTTCTTTCTTTCTTTTTTTCTTTCTTTCTTCTTTCTCTCTCTCTCTTTCTTTCTTTCCCTTTAAAAACGTAAAGAACATTCTTAACTCCCCAGCCATACAAAAACAAGCCGGGGGCTGAATGAGATTTCAGGGAATGAAAGAGCTCACATCATAGATTGTAAATTAGTATGTGATACATATACAATATGTTGTAACTACATGGATGCTTATCCTTTTCATTACCATAAAATCCTTGAGTCTAGAGCCTTGTCTCACTCATTTTGGTAGTCCTGGAACACAGCACATTTCCTGACACATCACAGTCACTCAGTAATTGCTGGATAGATGACTGGAAGAGAGAAGGTCTACTTAAAAAGATTAATATTATAGACTATAGCATATGCAAAAACTATCCAATGATAAGAGAAGTGATAGTTTCCCAATTAATTTCATCAGTACAAACAGTATAGAACAAAACAAAAAAGCCCATACCCCAAGAAACTCTACTGACTTAATATTAATGTTTGTTGACAATGACTATGTTAAGCAGATTTTGGCAAATAATTCATTTTACTTGTTGTCTGGAAGGAAAGTGGGCTTGATTTTGTGGAACTTCTAGGAAGTTGGAGTTTCATTTCTTGGGTATGGTGTTTAGGGAAATTGCTCTGGCAACCATGTCTGGGGATGGGAATGGGAATATACCTTTGAGTCATGGGCCTCTAGCACAAGTGATGTACTTAAAGCTCTGGGATAGTACTGGATACATTAACTTAGCTAAATCCTGAAATGTGACTAACAATGAATGTATTGCTTAATTCAAAGCTACTGATACTGAAAATGTGAACATGGTGGTGAAGTACCTCATATTACAGTGGGTTCATAGTCATCTAATTAGCTTAAAGTAGGTCTTTAACATTTTTTAAAAATTTATTTTCCAGCTTTACTGAGGTATAACTGACACATAAAAATTATGTATATGTATAGTGTACAACATGATGTTTTAGTGTATGTATACTTTGTGAAATGATTAGCACAATCAAGCTAATTAACATATCCATCAATTCAGTTTGTTGTTTTTATGTGAGTGGTGAGAACATTTAAGATCTCAGCAAATTTCAAGTGACAATATAGTAATTATTAACTATAGTCATTATGGTGTATGTTAGATCTCCCAAACTTACTCATCCTGTATAACTGAAACTTAGTACCCTTTGGCTAACATCTCCCCAATTTCCCCTACCCCTCACTCACAATTACCATTCTACTGTCTGCTTCCATAACTTCAACTTTTTTAGATTCTACATACAGTATTTGTCTTTCTGTGTTTTATTTCCCCCAACACAGTATCCTCCAGGTTCATTCATGTTGTCACAAATGACCAGATTTCATTTTTTTTAAGGCTGAATAATATTCCATAGTATGTATAGACCACATTTTCTTTATCCATTCACCTGTGGATAAATGGCTATCCACATTGGCTATCATGGCTACTGTGAATAATGCTACAATGAACATGACAGTGCAGATAACATCTCTTCTGGCTACTGATTTTATTTCCTTTGGATCTATGTCTAGAAGTAGGATTGCTTGATCATATGGTAGTTCTATTTTTAATTTTTTGAGGAATCTCCATACTGTTTTCCATAATGTCAGGACTAATTTTCATTCCTACCAACAGTGAACAGGATTCCTTTTTCTTCACATCCTTGCCAGCATTCGTTCTTTTGTCTTTTTGATAGTACCCATTCTAATGGATATGAGGTGATAGCTCATTGTGGTTTTTACACTTCCCTGATGATTAGTAATGTTGAACAGTCTTCCATATACCTGTTGACCATTTGTGTGTCTTTTCAGAAATGTCTATTCACTTTTTTTGTCCACTTTTTAAATGGGTTATTAGTTTTTTTGCTCTTGAATTGTATGAGTCCCTTATATATTTTGGATTTTAACACCTTATCAGATGTATGGTTTACAAGTATTTTTCCATATTCAGTAGTTTGCCTTTTCACTCTGTTGACTGTTTCCTTTGCTGTACAGAGGCTTTTAACCATTTGTCTATTTTTTATTTTGTTGCCTGTGCTTTAGGAATCATATCCAAAAAACCATTGCCCAGAAAGTAGGTCTGTTTTATGTAGTTCTGCCTCTTGGCCTTCTGTATATAAGGATCTGATACCTTATCTTAGATCCACCAGAGTGTCCACCCTCTTGATCTGATTACTCCTTTAATTGCTTTCTCAACTGAGGTGCACATCTTCCTTAGTAAATCTTTGGTAGTTTTATAGCTCATGCTGACTAGATTTCCCTTTACAACAGCTTTACTCCATCTCACAGGCCAACATTTATCTGGTACTTGACCACCACTCCTTAATTCAAGTGAACATTTCTTTCTGAAGTGCTGCAGTAGACTTCAGTCTCCTACTTCCAAGGCCAACTGCTCCAATTCCTCATATCCCTTGAATATACCATGTTTATCCTGCCTCATAGCTGTTTCCTGCATCTCAAATGCCCCCTTGCTTTGCTTAATAGTATCAGTGTAGATATTGATAATATCAAACTTTACCTGAGCCCTATGCTACTAGAAAAAGCTATGATTAATAAATCCCTCAATTCCAATTCTTTTGTGCTCCAGGAAAAGGCTTACTGCAAAGAGCCAGTCTTCTTCTTAAATAGGACTTATTGATGCCCTCCTTGTTTACCTATGACAAGGCCAGACACAGACCCTCCCATTCCCATTCTTTTCCTCTTAAATGATTGGGTGAACTGTTTGTCCCTGCTGGCCAATCTGGACAAAATGCTTCACTTGACAAACTTTAGTCAGGCTTCTCCTTCTAGGTTCCTGAACTTTGCCCCACCCTTGGGCTTTGGGGGCAGAACAGCCCTCCTTAACAGCCTCTCCAGATGATCAGCAGACTGCAAGAAAAGACCTGCCCTGATAATTATCTGATGATACCTACTCATCGCACTCCCCCATACCTGATTCCCTCTAGCTTTTCTCTCCCTCCCTATAAAAAAAAAATTTTTTTGTTTTGCATGACCTATCAGATCTTATAGTCTATGTATTCTCCCTATTGCAACAGTCACCTTCCCCTGATTGCAATACCCTTTTGAATAAAGTCTTTACTCCAAAAAGCTTTCCTATTCCCAAGATTAGGTTAGGTACTCCCAAGAGGGATTCCATAACATTATGCCCTTGTCCTAATCAGCACTAATCACAGTGGGGAAAAGGGTTGTATTCTTGCCTCCATTCTTCACTAGAATGTGAGCTTCTTGAGGGCAGTCACTGTGCCCTGTTTATCTTGTAGCCCTGGTCCCTGGTAGAGTTCTAGAACATTCTAGAGGTGTAATTAAGGTTTAAATTCTTAATTATTTAGTTAAATTAATAACCTTTTTTTTTTCCCTGTGAAGATGGACAACTGGTCTGAGAGCCCATTTCTGACCAGTCATTTCCATGGATGAATGAATTGGAGTGAGAGGAGAGAAGTCACAGTGGAGATTATTTCTCTACTGCTGCGTAGGAATAACATTCACACCCAGAAGGGGTGATTTAGATCAGACCAGGTTTGCCACCCTCCACTGTATACCTTATAAAACTATGTGGGAAAGCAATTTTGATTATTGTTGTAGAGGCCATCAGTTCTAGAAAAATATCCCAGAAGAAAATGGGGTTTTTTATCCCTTCTGGCTCAAAATAGTGACTTATACACTTCTGGAGATGGAAGGAATACCAGCTTCAATTTATCAAACACATAAAATGTTAACTGTGCCATTTTATTGAAAGTTTATGACATATATCACTAAGATATGATTTATATTACACAAGAAATGCTGCTTCCTCATTCCCCACTCCAGTCTAGAGATCTAACCTACCCTCAAGGACTCCAGCTGAAAGCTTCAAGGTAGATAATAAAGGCAGCTGGTTCTTATGTTCAGAAATGGTCCCTGACCTGAGTCAAAATGTCTTTAGAATGCCAAATTTTGTTTTGTTTGTTTTTCTGAAAGGTGTTCTATTCCTGCTGTTTGATTCCTTGCCTAAATTCTTGATCCATTATTAATCTTAATTAGATCCCTGACTTTCTAGTATTCAAACCATTTGCCTGGGAACCTGTCTGATCCATCTCAGTGCTTTGTGGCAGCTTAAGTCGATCTCAGTTTTCACTGTCTGAGCCCCGAGATACCACCCATCAATTTCTAATCTGTACATGCATCTCCAATCCGTAGTTAATTCTGAACCTGGTGATGGTTTTGCTCCATCTCAAATTGACATCCTACATGCTGCTCTGCTTCTCCTTGTGTAAAGACCCTGCCCTGCTCCCTATGGCTCTCTGTTGGCTACTTGTCTTGTACTTTTGTGTGCTGCCACCCCGTTCTAGGAATGTACCACATAGCTCAGAAATGACACCTCTGGAAGCTATCTATACATTTTAATTAATTTTATATGTAATCAAAGTAATAAATGTACACAGTTTAGAAAGTCATTGTCCCGACCTCCCTCCTATTAACCTCTGTTTTCTTGCTCTACTCTGGATCCATACCTTAGTTCCCATTCTAGGACTTCTCTTTTGATGAATTCCATGTTTTTTGGATGCAATATCTCCTTTCTTGGTTTACTTTCTCATATAGGTGCAGCACATTCTCTAGTATCTTTTTTCTCCCATTTTTTCTTTCTTTAAGATTCCATTTTAATGAACATCATGTATGCACCTAGTCAAAAAGAAATATAGCTTTATAGGTATGTTAAGAAAAACTATAATCTCTTGCTTGGGATCCGTAGATAATAGGGTTCAAGGGAAAAACTTATGTTCTGTGTATATATATATTTTGGTGTGATCCCAGAAATCTAAGAGTGAGGGAAAAATGAAGTAAAGGAAAGGAAAGAAACATGGGGAACAAATAACAGTGTGTTCATTAGCTAGCTGATCTTGGCTTCGTGGTAAGTGCAGCAGTTGACTCCACTGAATATCACCTCCTCAGCATTTCCAGATTGTGCCATCAAGCAGCTGCTGGAGAAGCCAGAACCTAGGCATGCTGTGGTAACATTCAAGATTTAAGCCACAGTGCACAGTCAGCCAGTGAGTAGTTCTATGCTAATGGCACTTGCCTACCAGCAAACTGTACTTTGCAAGCCCTACCAAGCTGTAAGCTTCTGAGGGTAGGTGGGTGCTGAGTAGATCCAGTGGCTTTTTGCATTTCATTGGTGACAGAGATGAGTCTAGGGGAAAGAGGTTAGAGGCTCCTTCCCTCAAGGCATGAGGCAAGGAACTTTGAGGTTGCTCCTGTGTGCAACAAAAGGAACCAGGACTGAACACTGGCCCCAATTCTTAGAAGTGGAGTAGGCAGAATGGCACAATG